TTTAGCTAAGCAAGGAGGTTACTGTGTTACAACCTATATCACCTGCTGTACTTGCTTTAACACTTCTGGAGAAGTTGAAAGTCAGTTACAAAAGATCACTGAAGAAGCCATTTGGTTTGAGAGGGTAACTACTGTAGCAGGGTCTTTCTTTGATTGGCTTGAGACCTGGGGTCCCTGGTTCTGAGGTATACACCAAGCATTTGGAATTATCCTGTTTATTGTCATTATAACCCCCCCTGGTGCACTGACTTACCTCAAAAACTGTAAATGTGTGTTTGCAGCTGCTGACCACCAAGCTGAAGATCTCCTGAGACAGGAATCTCCGAGGAGTGAAGAGAAGGACCAGCTTAAAGAATATGAACCTGAACTCATGGTCTCAATGATTACTGTGAATACCACAAGGAGATTAATGAAAACTGTGGAGAGGAGCCCCCCACCCCTTGGCAGCACAAGGGGTTGAGTCTCAGCACTAAGAAGCTACCTCCAGCACGAGATCCATCCTGGGCTTGGGACCCAACCCACATGGCACAGCAGACCTCTCCTGCCTCACCCACTACTCCCCTTACAAGTGTACTTCAGTAGATCTGCCTGTTCTGCTCCCCACTCTGTCTCTGGTGAATCCTCTCATTCCCCCACCTCCAGAACCTCTGGCTTGTACCCCAGTTCTTGTATGCATAAATAAATAAATCTTTAAAAAAGAAAGAAAACTGTGAAAAGTAGTACCTGGGAATGGTGCTGATACTTAAATTTTGATCAAAACTCTCAGGCTAAGAGTGTGATCAAGAGAGGAATTTCTTGAGAGGGGCAGTGTTACAAAACTGGGTCCTAAAGGGAGTGGCTCATGCTGGACTCTCACCGAGATTTATTTATGTATTTATGTATTTATTTTTACAAGCACTGGGTACAGTCAGAAGCGCGGGAGGGTGAGAGAATTCACCAGAGACAGAGTGGGGAAGAGAACAGCCAGCCAGACAGAGGACACTGCTGAGGGGAGCAGCGGGCACGGCAGGAGAGGTCTGTGGGACCCTCGCTGGCAGCCGGGGATCGAACCGGTGCTGCAGAGGCTGCGGGCAGCTTCGCAGCCCAGCGCTCAACTGCTGCGCCTCAGGGGAGTTCCTCACTGAGATTTAGTACCTATTCTAATCGCAGTTTCAATCTTCCCCAAAAGTATGATCTTAAACAAATCAACCTGGAGTTTCCTGATCTGCGCCAGGAGTAATCTGCTGAAGGCTCCCTGCCCCTCTGGTAAAAGCCTCTTTATCCGAAATAATCTTTGTTTTGCTAATACTTTGTCTTGCCCCCTTCTGTCTATAAAACCCCTCCATTTTGCGCAAGCCTTTGGAATACCTTTCTGTTTGCCAGAGGGAATGCTGTCAAGATGAGTTTACGGATTCATGAATTGCTTAATATGGCCAATTCAATCTGTAGAAAGAAAATATTATTTATATGTCATATGTGGAGGCAAAAATAGAGACAGCTGCAATCAAGAGAGCTGAGATTTGAGGAACAGTGATATAAAGAGATTGAGCTCAGGGAATTTGCTGCTAACCCTTGTGATTTTCTTTCTAACAAGAATAGAATAGTTAATTTACACTGCACAGTTTGGTACATTTGACTTTTTCCGTGAGTTAGATGTAGTTCTAAGAACACTGATGCTTGGCCCTAATCTACCTGTAATTCCATTACTCTATGAAGTCAGTAGACCTGAAGCAGAGATATTATGGGATATGTAGTCATTTTCTTGAAAAACGGACAGTGTTTCAGTTTTAGTTCACACACAGGTTTTTACCACCTAGTACTTATTGTGTTGTAAGCCTTACATACTTTACAAATGTTTCCCCAGTAATTTTTAAAATATTACCGGGAGATGAAGAGCATAATTCCACTTTTCAAGATAAAGCTCAAAGAAATGAAGGAACTTTTTCAGTACAGGGTAGGAAGGAAGAGTAAATATTAAGTTCCTAGTGCAACATCTATGACATATAACATTATCCTTTCAAGATTCAAGTTGCTGCAAATGGCATTAGCTTTTCTTTTTTTGATCTCTGAGTAGTATTCCATTGTGTATATGTACCACATCTCCTTTATCCATTCATCCCTTGTAGGGCACTTGAATTATTTCTGTATCTTGATATTGTGAATAGTGTTGCCACAATCATAAGGGTGCGCGTATCTTTTTAAAGGAGTCTTTTCCTATTCTTTGGGTAAATACCAGGAAGTAGGATTACTGGATTATATGGTAGTTCTATTTTTAATTTTCTGAGGAATCTCCATACTCTTTTCCATGATGGCTGCACCCATTTATAGTCCCACTAACAGTGCACTAAAGATCAGTTGTCGGATTACCTTTTCTCTACGTTCTTACCAGCACTTATAATTATACTTTTTTGGCAATAGTCATTCTAACTTGTGTGAGGTGAAATCTCAGTGGTTTTGATTTGCACTTTCCTAATGATAAGCAATGTTGAACATAAGCTCTTGATCTCTTTATAGGAGTCTTTGATTAGAACCCTAGCACCAAAAATGTAACTAAATTCATGTGAAACTCATAAATTTGGGAAAGTAGCCCCTATGCAATTAGCAGTCATATTAAAGTCCAATGATATGAGGGGAAACGCCACTTTTCCCTCTACAAAACACTCTCAAACTTAAAACAAAATCCATCCATTTAATATGTATAGTCCCAGCTATGTTAAAAAACAAACCAAGAGGTTCCTCAGTCTACTAAAAATGGAGTTACCTTTTGACCCAGCAATTCACTTCTAGGGATCTACCCAAAGGACACAAAAACATTGATTCAAAAAAATACCTGTAGGGCCTCCCCTGGTGGCACAGCAGTTGAGTGCTGGGTTGCGAGGCTGGGTTGCGAGGCTGCGCCTCTGCAGCGCCAGTTCGATCCCCGGCCACCAGCGAGGGTCCCACACACAAAAAATACCTGTACCCCTATGTTTATTGCAGCACTATTTATAATAGGTAAAACTTTGAAACAAACCAAATGCGCAAAAATAGATGACTGGGTCAAGATATGGTATATATACACAATGGAATATTATTCAGTAATCAAAAAAGACAGACTCATGCCATTTGCAGCAACATGAATGAAGCTAGAAGGAATTATGCTCAGTGAAATAAGTCAGAAGGAAAAAGAAAAATATTGGAGGGTTTCACTTATAGGAGGAATATAGGGGAACAAAATAAGACATTAGGGGGAAAATAATAACATAACAAAAATCAACAATTATAAATCAGAGACATCCTGCAGGGGAGGAGGGAGAGGGATCAGAGGGAGGGAGGGAGGAGCACAGGGGACTGTGGTGATGGTGCACGGGTGCATTAGTGAAGGAAATTCTATGGGGACTACACCTGAGGGGGGAGGGGGAAAGCAAACATTGTTTAAAAATGAACAATGATGTTAAAAAATACATAAAAAATGAATAAAAATGCAAAAACAATAACAAAAACAAACCAAGACTGAAGGAAATTTCTCAATTTATTGGTGGTGGGATAGTATTTACTGCACAATTTTCATATTCGCTGATATTTTTCTTACATTTATAATTGTAGAAAGGAGAAAATAAATTAAACCTACTAATGTTAAGAAATAACCTAAAATTCTTAAAAACATGAATATGAATGTACATAATACAGCATCATTTATGGTCACCACTTACATCACCTATCTGCTTCTGTTCTATTTATCTTTCTCCTACAAAATCAAATGGTTCAGATAAGCAGAGCCTTTAGGGACAGCATGCCGTCCCCCAATCCCTTAGGCAGAATTATGAGGTGGTAATTAGATTGCACAGGGAAACTTCAGAACAAAATCTGGGAGCAGTGGGTGAGGCTGCCCTCTCCTGGGGAAACAAGAAAATTACCACCTCACCAAAGGACCTTAGTTGTATAGTCAAAGGCACTCAAAAGGTACTTGTTTAATGAGCAGCCTATGAGCTTTAGTTTAAGATGTCAAAAAACAATTTCTCCATTTAGCCTTGAAGATAATATATTGATTTAAGTCTCAGGAAATCTGGATTCATTTCTTCTTTCCTGAAGAATATAAGAATGTACTTCTCAAAGTGATAATGCATTGATTGATAGGTTGTTACAGGCATGAAAACAATGCTTGAAGCTAAAAGGTCATTTTGGAAATTGAAGTATAATTGCTTTAAATGTTTAGTTTTGTAAATATTTTGTGTGTTTAAAATCTCTGAGCCTCAGACGTCTCATCTCTAAAATAGTAATTTTGGGCCTTCCCTGGTGGCGCAGTGGTTGAGTGCTGGGTTGCGAAGCTGCCCGCAGCCTCTGCAGCGCCGGTTCGGTCCCCGGCCGAAAAAAAGAATAAAATTGTAATTTTAAGGTCATTTTGAAAATGATGTGAAAATAACAATTTAGCACAGTGCTCAATAGTCCCAATGCTTAGTAAATAACAGCCATTACTTTAGCTTTTACTCACATTTCATAATCTATGCAGTAATCATTTACCTGTGGGACAACCTCTCCAGTGTTCACAAAAAAGAACTCGAAGGAATCTGTGAGTGTGATCTAAGAAACACATACACGAGTATATTTTAAAGGATTAAGAGCATGAGATTACATGTTGAGACTTGTACGCTGAAATATTTTTTATCAAAGTGTTAATGTTTTATATAGTTGGGAAGTATTTCTGTAATTGAAAATCCTGAATTGTCCCTAAATAATTCAGATGTCTACACCATAGACATTTTTTTTTTCTTTTATAGAGGCATGTTTTTATTATTTGTTTGTTCGTTTGTTTTGTTTATACATGCACTGGGTACAGTCAGAAGCGCGGGAGGGTGAGAGAATTCACCAGAGCCAGAGCAGGGAGCAGAGCAGGCAGAAGGACCGAAGTACACTGCTGAGGGGAGCAGCGGGCGGCAGGAGAGGTCTGCGCGCCATGTGGGACCCTCCTCTGGTGGCCGGGGAGCAGCCGGGAATCGAACCGGCGCTGCAGAGGCTGCGGGCAGCTTCGCAACCCAGCGCTCAACCGCTGCGCCACAGGGGAGGCCCTACACCATAGACATTTGTATAAACTGTTACTCTTCCTGATACTTAACAAAATTAGACTTCTTTATTTTCATCTGTCATTAACTTCTCAAAGTTATCTTTAGGAGTTCACATATGCTTACTTCACTGAGGTTTTTTTAAACTCTATTTTAAACTTTCTTAAAAGAGTAAGTGCAAACCCCCAAATTAAAATCCTTAATTTGCTCTTCACAATGGATACATGTATCAGATCACCATGATATACACATTAAATATCTTATAACTTTGTCATCTATACCTCAATGAAGTTGAAAAAAGACTGAAATCACACATTCATAAAAGCCTTATTCTGGGCCAATATTGAGAAATAGAGCAATGCAAGGGGATCTTTTATTCATCACACAAAGTAAAAATACAGAATTATCAGTTTATTTTTCCTTTAAAGAGAATACACTTTGCATATGGAGAAATAAAAGATCAGTTGTCAGGAGATGCTTTTGAAGAATGATCAATAAGCGCTTTATCAATGGTTGGATATTGAAACCAGGGACCATCGCCTCTCGAGCGCATCAATCTTCGTACTTCCAGCTCCTTTAACCTGTAACAAAAGGAAGAACAACAATATGATTCTAGCACTTCCACTTATAAATTTAAGGAATTAGTTCTATAAAGTAACTAACAGAGGGCCTCCTTGGTGACGCAAGGTGTTAAGACACAACCTATGAAGCTATCCACAACCACTGCAGCGTGAGTTCAATCCCCCACCAGGGAGATACCCACACGGCGTAAAAGACATCTCCGGTCTGGACCACTGCTCCCCTCAGCAGTGTATTTCAGTCGTTCTGCCTGTTCTGCTCTGTCTCTGGTAAATCCTCTCACCTGTACCCTAGCTCTTGTATGCATAAATAAATAAATCTTAAAAAAAAAAAAAAAGAATAACCACAGAGTCTTTTGCTTTTATGCATATACAGATACATGTATATGCATAAATCTGACACCTCTAAAGAGAAGTATTTCCTTGTCTTTTCTGCCTTTTAGGTGTTGGAGAATCAATGACAGAATGCCTACTACTGAGGCCACATATACTGTGACAAGTGCTAGGAATTAAAAATGAACAAGCCTTCTTGCAGGAACTCCCATCCTGTCTATAGAGGCTGCCCATCACCAACAGGACAGACTAAGACATGTAATTCACCAGCCTAATTAACATCAAATGATCAATATTTATAAAGAAAAACTAGGATTAAGAAAAATATTCTCCAACTCTAAGATCTATTTTCTTGTCCATATCCTTGCTAACAAACTGCATAATCTCTCTGTAGAGAATAGAGATCAATTTCCTTCTTTCACGAACAACATTGCTATTCCATGCTCTTAAATACTTAATAAAAGTTCTATATGGTAACTATATATAACTATTGATATATATGCAGAAAACAAGCAAGTTATGCAGTATCTTAATAATTTAATTATATTCCAATATCTTCAGTATCATAGCAGTTCTTATAAGCAACAAAGTTTAAAAAAACAAACAAACTGAAAGCAGATCAATGGTAGCCTAGGGTCAAGAGTAGGGGTTAGGGATTGACCACAAGGACAGGAAAGAGGTTCAAGGGCAATTGAAACGACCTTGATTATGGCAGTTTATACAGCTATATACTGTTTTCAAATTTATTGAGTAATTGTACTGAATTTAATGGATATATCTGATTATATGTAAACCTATTTCAAACACCATGATATATTTCAGATAGGGTCAAATTTAAAAGCAGCAAAATGAAACATGAGTGAATATTTAAAAAGCTAATTTTGGACTTATATATTTACTTATTTATACATACACACACACACACACACACACATTTATGAGATGCCTAAGCATGACTTAAAATTCCAGAAAGAGAAAGACTGACAAACCTGACAATAAACAACAAATACAAGCAATTAAACCACTGGCCCATAGTTAGTGTTCAAAAACATCATTAGGCTACTGCTACAGTTTTGTTTGAAACATAAAAATATTTCTGTTATAAAAGATTCTACCCTGTTAAAATATAAGCTACAAGCTGAGAAGCATATCTGCAACAAAAACTAAAGAGGGTTCTTGAATTAGAAAAACAGGCAATTTGTAGAAAAAGAAACGACCAGTAGATATTCAAAAATAAGCAAACAAACAAAAAAACTGAAATGATGAGGTTTTTTCATAACATTATCAACAATCTTAACAGAAAAAATATTTAGGTTAAAAGGTCCTCCCTGGTTGCCTTGGGATTAAGTCTCAGCGTTATCACCACAATGGCTTAAGTTTGATCCCTGGCCAGGGAGCTGACCCACATGGTGCAGCAGACCTCTCCTGTCTCGCCTGCTGCTCTCCTTAGCAGTATATTTCAGTAAATCCTCCTGTTCTGCTCTGTCTCTAGTGAATCCTCTCATCTCCCTACATTTCTGGCCTACACCCCAGCTCTTCCACCCAAATAAAGAAAGAATTAAAAATTAAAAAAAATATTTAGGTTTGATAAATTCCATTACTGGAAAAGATGTGAAGAAAAAGTTACACTGGTGTCAAAAAAGACAACTGACTTTTTTTTTGGAGAAGAGTTTGGTACTACTGAATCAGAACTTAAAACATAACATTTGGCTTCTCAGTGTCACTGCTATAATATAAACACCTACACACACGCATGGATAAGAGGATATTCACCAGAGCATTATATAGCATATCAAAGGAACGGGGAAAGAACAATACAGGACGTTAAGAAAATGAAGGCTTATCCATCCAATGATATTGATGATGCGGCCATGAAGAAAAATGTGGTTATATAGTTATAGAAGGAGCACCAAGATAAATTTAAGTGAAAAAGAGACAAGACACAGAGCAGTATTTATGAGGATTTCATTTGTGTTACCATATTTTTAAAAGATATATAAAATATATCTTTTGATAAAATTTTTTCTAGGAATATATGTAAGAAATTATCAAATGATGGCCACCTCAAAGGAAAAAACTGGGTGCAGGAGAAAAGGAAACTGGAGGAAAGGAGAGAGGAAAGAGTGGGATTTTTTTTTAAGAGATTTATTTATTTATGCATACAAGAAATGGGTACAGGCCAGAGATGCGGGAGGTGAGAGGATTCACCAGAGACAGAGTGGGGAACAGGCCAGGCAGACAGACTGAAGTACACTGCTGAGGGGAGCAGCGGGCGAGACAGGAGAGGTCTGCTGCGCTATGTGGGTTGCTCCCTGGCTGGCCGGGGATCGAACTCATGCTGCAGAGACTGTGGATTGCTTCATAGTGCTGTGTTTAACCCCTTGTGCCACCAGGGAGGCCAAGAGTGGGATATTTTAAGAAAGAATTCTTTTCAATCTGACAGATACTATCTCCTAATAGTGTCCTAGTCTCCAATTTATAATCTCTACTCTAAAAAGGTCAATTCTCTTCCCATTTTCATCCTTTTTGTAGAGCATCCTAAAGTGTTGGAATTTGTAGCCATTGGAAAGGATTTTCTATTCTGCCCTCTAAACCCTCCCTCCCGTCTTTTACCGTAATTCAGCCTTTTCAGCTTCAATTTGAAGGATAGCCATTGTTTTTTCATAGTTCTTTTCAGGACCATCATAGAAAGTACGGGCAATCCATCTTGATATAGGATGCTGTAAGAGAAAATTTATTTAAAATTAGTCAGATTCTGAATAGTACTTTGCTTTTCCAGTTTATTACTCCTGAAAGTGACTATGTCAAACCAGTAAATTAAAATGTGCCAAATGTTTTCTATATTTTTAAAAATAATTTTAATATTAAATTATTTAAAATAATTTATATATTTAAATAATTTTAACCCATTAGGCGGATAATACGTCTATCCCCATTTGATAGATCAAGAATACACAAAGTGGACCTCCCCAGTGGCGCAGCGGTTGAGCGCTGGGCTGAGAAGCTGCCCATAGCACCAGTTCGATCCCCGGCCGCTGGGCGAGGGTCCCACATGGCACGACAGATCTCTCCTGCCGCCCACTGCTCCCCTCAGCAGTGTACTTCGTCACTCTGCCTGTTCTATTCTCCGCTCTGGCTCTGGTGAATTCTCTCACCCTCGCATGCCTCTGACTGTACCCAGTGCTTGTATAAATAAATTAATTAAAAAAAAAAAATGCACAAAGTTAGAGAGTTACAAAGTGGCAGCATCTAGACTCAAATCAGGTTTGTATGACACCAAAATCTGTGCTCTCTCCAGTTACACTACAGTATCTTCAGCGACAGATTTAGGAGCAAAACCCAGGGTTTGGTGAACCCAAAAAGGAAGTTTTTCCACAAGATGCACAGAAAAACTAAATGTATAATTTTTCTTAAGATTTAACATTGAAGACAGTTGACTTTGTTCCTTGCCTCGTCTTCTCACAAGACTTTTAAGGATCAAGTGATTCCTGGTCAAGAAACAAAAGTAGAATCATCCCATACACCAATAGATTCGGATGAAAACTAGTGATAAAATCAGATATAACTAAGAATTCTGTTAGTATCAGTATTACTGGCATTAATATTGATAAATATTTTCTATGGCATTGAACTTAGAATAAATTCTGATTGTTATTCCGCTTAGTTAGAGAACACACACAGAATCATTCTTTAAAAAAAAAAAAGCTTAAAATAAAACCTGCAGAGAATCTAGAAAACTTAAATAAGGGACCAGGAAAATGAATATAAGAAAGTGAAAATCAAAATCAACAAAAAACTATGAACCAGAGACACTTGTTGGGGGGGGGGCGGGTGGGGAAGGATTGGGGTTAGAATGGGGCGTTTGCAATTGTATGGGGGAATATAAAAATTAAAATTAATAAAAAAAAAAAAAAAAAAAAAAAAAAAAGAGAGAATCAAAAAAAAAAAAAAAAATAAAACCTGCAGAAAATTACCCAGAGAGATGTTTATTAAAAAGTGGACAAAATATACATCATCTACTTGGTATCAAAATTGATTACAAAACTACCATAATTGCTGAATGAAGACATTAACCAGGGCATTGATGTGACATCTGACAGAAAGTAACTTTCAATGACTTATACACCAACCTTGAAATATTCCCAGTGTTCTGGGATATAGCCTTCTGGAATTTCTGCTAACTCAGCTTCACCTAATAAGAAAAAATAGTGATGTACAACCTTAGTATCAGGAGTTGATAATACTAATTACTATTTAAGTGAAAAAATCAACTTCCCATGGTTTTAAAAATCTTTTATTTGTATCAGTGAAAATCTCTAATACATTAGAGTGACTTCAATCTGGTTGAAAATTCATTCATCAGTCTTTCTAATGTTTTTCTGTGTAAGGAATTGTTATAGCATTATATGGGAGTTTCCCATTTTGTTTTTATACATTGTGTAACAAGATACAATAAAAGATGTATTACTCCTTCTGATTTTCCCTAAACCTGCTAAATCTACTAGATGAAACATTTTAGGATTCAAGATATTAGAAGTACTTTGAGCAGAATTTCTCACGTAAATGTAATATTTACTATCATTCACAACTCCATTCTCTGTAAAATAATAATTCTGTATGTTCCAGGGTGGATAAAAAATTCTTTTCTCTCTCAGCCTACCTTCTACCCCCATCTCTATTTGCCTTAATCTGACTGGTCAAGGCTGGTTTTGAAACTGGAAATGAGAAGACAGGTTTTCTGAAGTTTTTTTTTAATGTGATCTCTAGGGAATCAGTGACTAAGTTTTTGGAGGGAAAACAGACATGTTTAAAAAATATTTATACTATTTCAGTTTAAGATTTGGTTATTTAAAAGTAAAATCCCATGCTTATGTTTATCTTATTATTTAAAGAGCTTTTCATTATAATCCATTTTTTAAAATTAATGTACATAGGTTTTTAAAATTTACAAATTTGGTTAGGGTGGGGTGGGGTGGGAAGGACTTACCAATGAATACATTCACCAGAGTTATTCCAATTGCTACTGGAATCCCAGTCAACAAAATGTAGAATTTCTGTTCAGATAAAAAAAAAGTTTTCCTTTGTGAATGGGAACAATAGAATATCTAATATGATATATATATATATTTATTACTTTTCTATGGCTGCTGTAACAGATTACCACGAATCTAGTGGCTTAAACCAACACATACTTATTATCTTACAGTTCTGAAGGTCAGAGTCTAAAATTAGTCCACAGTACTAAATTCCTTTTAGATGCCTACAAGGACAATCTGTTTCCTCCCCTTTTCCACATTCTAAAGACTGGCTACATTTCCTGACTCGAAGCCCCTTCCTCCATCTTCAAAGTTAGCAGCGCACATCTGCTTTTTACCTTGCCCTCCTGCCCCACTCTTATAAGGACTTGCATGGTTACATTGGTCCCACTTAGATAATCGAGGAAAATCACCCCCATCTCAAAATCCTTAATCACATCTGCAAAATTTCTTTTATCTTTTGAAATACGAGATTCACAGATTTCTGGGATCAGGATGTGGACACTGTTGGGGGGACGTTATTTAGAAACCACAATGGGGTTGTTATAAATATTAAATATGTTGGGTACTTATAAATGCACCTGGAATATAATCACTATTTATTATATATCAATATTATGGTTATTATACAGTATACATAAATCAATTTTTTTTAAAGTGAATCCATTAGGAAAAAAAGAGCAGCTGGGTATGGCTTATAACTGAAAGAGTATAAATGAACCTTCCTTAGAAGAAACCTGGTATGTATGTTATATGCCCGCAAGAGAATAAGTTTTGACACAAGCCTCTCCTGACTCTCTTTTCTTACCCTCAAACTGTCATAATTATGTGATTTCCTTATATTTCTTAGAAAATAAATTTGCCAAATTGGAAATGCAGTATTATTTATTTCTGTGATTGTCTTTTGCTCTAACTTTTAGATCTCTGTATTTAATACCAAAAATGAAAGAAAAAAGTAAGGATTAATTGTACAAGTATAATACAATCTATATTTATTAAGAGTTTTTTTCCCACTTTTTTGGTGAAAGCATTGTAATGAAGTCTGAAAATTTTGTACAAAGAAGTGTAAAAACAATAAGATGGTTTCAACCACTGTCTAGAGTTTGACTTGCACAGGACCAAGAAAAGCAGACTCTTAACCAAGATAATGGAGAGAGACAAGAAGCTCAGTGAGAGTAAAAGAAAGCCTAGAGGACAGCAAATGCTCAAATGGTGGGTTTGAGGACCAGCAGCAGTGTCCAAGCAATCTTCCATTTTTCCAAGTCTCCACTTTTCTTTACAGAGTCTTGAGACACATAAATACACACAGCATAGTAGTTTTACCCTCTGAAAACAATGTTGCTGAATAACACAGAAATAACATGTTCCCAAATAATGAAATTCCTCATTTAGAATAGTCATTTCCTAAGCTTTTGGTAATTTAAAGAGTATCTTAGTAATACAAATAATTATTCCCAATGAATCCGTTTCAAAGTTTTGTAGTTTGTGGAATCTTTTTTTAATCTTCAAGCAGGAAACAGATTATATTTCAAAACCCTATAATCTTGAGAAGAAAGAATGGCTTAATTTTTACTTTCACTTAGCATAAATCCTTTTTCTGAGGAATGAAAGGTTCACTATTTTAGAATGATTTTCAGTAACAAGTCAGACCTTACTGAGACAGAAAGGGTCTCAGGACAAAGACAGACAAGGACTCAAGGACAAAAGTCTGCTGTTCCCATGGGCTGGTAAACAACAGGTTAAAAACCTGATGATTCTAGACCCAGACACCTGCTGCCATAAAGTTCCTGGCCTGCTGTTTTCTAATACTAATTTCCCCCCAGTCTGGGCATTCCTAAGTTATCTCTCCACAGCTTATCAACTTGACTGCTGTGAAAAAAGGGAAGTTACAGACACAGAAGAAAAGAGTCATAGACCTTGAGACCAGACCAGTTCAAACTGGAGCTGCAGACATACAGCCTCCATGAAATGTTCACCCTGGAGACAGTCAGGAGTCCTGCATGCATTGAGCTGCAGCTGATCGGTGCCCACAATTAGCAACAAGAAATGGATGTTAGCCAAGTCAATTCTCCTTGCTTTCTCAGCCAATAAAGTTTAAATCTTTTGTTCTCAAACCCCAGATCTGCACAGAATCCTAGCCCCAGCACCTCAGGGAATCTTTTTCATACCCAGAAAGGTCTCCCCAGAGTTCTCCTTCCTTGTTGTTTTTGCTAATCAGTAAAGGCTGACTCCTTGCCTGCCCTCACAATTGTCTATAGAGTCCTCTTCTCAATCTTGACCAGAGGATCTCAAAGAGCCCCTTTAGTTGGTGCAGGGTCATGGTTCAGCGGTAGAATTCTCAAAGAGCCCTTTCCTGCAGGGCTCCTCAGTCTATCCTCTGATTTCCAGTGAATGGAGCAATGGCCAGGCTGACAGGTCCCAGGCCCACTACCTTATCTGGTGACGCTCAGTATACAATCTCAGTCTATCTTTTGAAAAAAGAAGTATGAATCTACAAAATAAAATCTTTTGTAAATAAGACATTTTCTAAGCAAGCAAAAAAATGTTTAGCTCAAAATGTTTAACTCACCATTAAGTGCAAAAACCGCTTGTCATAGTATCCAGAAGGTTTGATGATAAACAGTCTCTTCCCATGGTCTCCACTGTGTCGAACAGGAGCTGGAAGTATTAAATTACCCTGTTTTATACAGGTTCATATGGGTACACTGTAATATTGTGAGGTAAAATCATTAAAGAAAATGCAAACACATAAATATTTAATATGAATTAAGAAAAAAAGTGCATGCTTCCTTGAGTACCAGAGACTGGGAGGATAGGGTATCTTTAAACAGAGATTGATGTACTGTTCACACCTACAGATCCCCACATTTTTATTTAATGATAAAATATATCTAAGGTGTGGATTAATCACTGCAGCAACCTGCTAAAGGGCTCTCTTGATAGCCCTGCTGGGTTCAAGAGTTCTATGAAAGGCTGGATGAGGTGGAGATGTCATTCCTGACAAAGACACAAAGCTACTGCCACAAGAGCGACTACTACAATGATAATGAAATGGGGTCCCCCCAAAATCTTCATATACATTATAAAAGTCTGAATCTAAAAAAGATTAAACATAGTAAGTGGAAAGTCCTGCTTGGACCCCCAAAAGTTTACTTGTCCACCAACTAAAGAAGAGTTGTTGGTGTGATATGTTTACTTGAAAGCCAAAGGTAAATTCAATCTTAAGCTGATGTACTAGAAGTACAGGGTCAAAACAGGAGATGCCCTCATCCCCATCCCCTAACATCTCCATACAGAGGTATGTCTGTCCCAGAGTACTCTTTTATAAGTGTTACGGAGCAACCCCGATATAAAACGGGTTGTCTGGCCGTGGGTCCTCACCCGCGTGCTTAAAAGGGACTTATTAATACTCCACTACAGGCATACACAAAAGGTCTATAAAAGGTTTATTTACAAGGGAAAGAGAATTAAGGAAATGTACAACTCAGGGAGAAAATAGGGAAATAAAGTCTTTAATGCGTCCTACCCAATCCGCCCACCTGGAAACCCAAAGGCACTCTCAGCTGGCCGCGTGCTGTGAGCTGGCGGAGAGCCAAAATGGGGGACCCTCTCCAAAGCCCAAGTGTCCGGTTTTATACCAAACCTGGCTGCTTAACCCCACCCTCAGGTTCCAGCAACCTTCCCTTTGGTGGTGATGGGATTTGGAGTTCCCAGTGTCTTTTGGCTTTGGTCTGGAGTTGGGGGTGGAGTCCACAAAGCTTGTATGGAATTAATTAGCTTTAGGTCATCCTTTCCCCCTAACAGAAGGACAATCTGGAGCAAGTTCCAACTCAGACCCTAGGCTGGCAAACAACTTGAAAACTGACATATTGAAACTGTAAGCACTGAGGTGATTGGCGTATAAAAGAAGGAATCTGGCCAGAGACCAGAGAAGTATCTATAAATAACTGAAGGACTGTCCATGACAAAGGGCTTATTGTGTGCTGAGCTTCAATGTGTCAAGAAGTAATGTTCAGCTTAATACAAGGAAGAAGACTCTACCACTTACTGCTATTAAAAATTAAACTGGACTACCCTCCCAACAAGTTATTCATTATCAATAACGGTACAACACAGATTAACATATTAATGTAGGAGGTAAGCCTCAAAGACTTTCCCTCAAAGAATCTGAATATATGGCCTCTTTTAGAGTGCAAGGGCAAAAGCTTTCCAACTCATCAAATTCAATGGTTTCCTTCCAATTCCCAGAACAGTTTGCTGCCTTCAGGTATCTGCACTTTTCCTTTGCCTCAAAGTTTTCCTCAGCTTCTTTGAATGGCTGCCTCTGTACCACATCCTTCAAGGCTACTAACAAATTTACCTGCTCAAAAGTCATCTTCACTGACTATCCTATCCAAAGTTGCTTCCCATGTATTCTCCTTAATATCATTTGGCTATTTCATTTAGAACAAAGAACAAGCACTACGAATCCTAATTATTTTGTTAAAGTCCATCAGGTCAGAGAATGTCTTATTAGTACTGTATCTCCAGTACCCTTTGGTGTCTATCACATGGTAGTTCCTCCATAAAAATTGAATTTACATTTCTTGAGTAAATTAAATATTCCTTAGTCTCTAAAAGTAAATTACTCATTAGGTAGTATACACCTAGCTTTTCCTTTCAATCAGACAGAAGACAGACAGACAGATACACACATGCACAGTCACACACCATGCAAAAAAGAAAGCCATAAAGAGATATAGATTAAACTCTATGTGGCTGGGGAACACTGATTATGATTGGCACTATTAATAGATACGTAAAATGTTAACAAATAAAAAAAGGACTGGAAGAAAGCTTGGTCTGGCTGCATTCTAGTAATATTAATGCAGTGAGTACTGTTGCTTTTTTTTTTTTTAAGATTTTTATTTATTTGTGAATACAAGAACTGGGGTACAGGCCAGAGATGCAGCGGGTGAGAGGATTCACCAGAGACAGAGTGGGGAACAGAACAGGCAGAATGACTGAAATACACTGCTGAGGGGAGCAGTGGGCGAGACAGGAGAGGTCTGCTGCACCGTGTGGGTAGCTCCCTGGCCGGGGATCAAACTTGTGCAGCAGAGGCTGCAAAAAGCTTCACAGTGCTATGCTTAACCCCTTGCATCACAGGAAGGCCCTACTGTTGCTTTCTTTACATATAATTACCATATGATTAAATAACAATGATGTCATTAAATGTGCTAAATAAATGTTTATTAGAAATCGTTTCAAAGTACATTTTATAGCACTAAAGTCTTTTTAAATATTCTAAGCTTCAGTAATTGCAGACATCTGCTTATACTTAAAATATTAGGGCAAACATTGCTTACTATCAGATTTCTGAAACTCAGGCCCTCCTACCACCAGAAAGGTATCTTTCACCACTCTCTAAAGCCTGAAATTTCTCAACTGTTGCTCATTATATGGAATTAAGGCTTCAATAACCATTTTTTAAAATGCAATAACTTAAGTTTTGACAACTGTGATATTCCTGAGCCTCAAACTCCACACCACTTTGTTTATAATATCTATTTTTAATACTTATCTCAGCTTTTTATCATAAGAGGAAATACACATAACTGCTCATTTTGACAAAGGTTTTTCAGTGAAGGTGAATGAAGACAGCATGACAGTAAGAAAGATGTGGCCACAGGGCCCTGTAGAAGGCTAATGCTTTGGTGTTATAGATTTTCCAACTTTTCACAAATAGTTTAGGAAAATAGATTAAATTACCATTTTTTATTCTTTTTAAAAGATTTATTTTTTATGCATACAAGAGCTGGGGTGTAGGCCAGAGGTGCAGGAGGGTGAGAGGATT